TCTTGTTCTTGTTGTTGCTGTTGTTGTTGTTGTTGTTGTGTGTTCTTGCTGTCGTTCTCACTGTTGTTGTTGCTGTTGATTGCATTACAAATGCAGTATCTCTTTGGTGCTGGCTGCTCCTCTTGACTGCCTTAAACTTCCCGCTCTGCATGCTGTTGTGCGGGCCTGGCCTTTTGGGGGTTCTTTGGTTGCCGCTCCATCAGGCTGGTGGTGCGGCCTGCTCGTCTTGGCTGCCCTATGCTTGCCGCTCACCTGTCAGCCGTGCGGGGAAACTACTTGATGACCTCTTGCTTGCCCGCTCCGTCCCGAAGGTGGTGCGGCATGCTCCTTTTGACTGCTTTCTGGTCGGCCGCTCTGTGTGGCGTGGTGCTACTGTGGCTCTCTCAAGGTTGACTTGGCAAGAAACAAGAGTTTTATTTATTGATCTTTATTGCAGACCAAGTTTTTTTTTCTATTGCTCGCTTGTTGCTGAATGCTGTGAGGCTTGCCGCTTTTCAGGCAGTAGCTTGTCAACACCCTCCAGGTCGCATGTTTCTTTTGTTTCTTTTCACTTTACTCACTTTGCTCTCTGGTCTGCTGCTTCTTCTTGCTGCGCAGGCTTGTTCTGTTGGTTCTTTTTGTGTCTGTTGTTTGTTGCTGTTGTTCTTGTTGTTTTTGGTTACTGCTGTTGTTCTTGTTGTTCTTGCAGTTGTCAGTTGTGGTTGTGCTTGTTGTTGTTGTTGTTGTTGTTGTCGTTGTTGTCGTTGATGTCCTTGTTGTCATTGTTGTCGTTGTTGTCGTTGTTGTCGTTGTCCTTGTTCTTGTTATTTTTTCTTGTTATTGCTGTTGCTGTTGCTGTTGCCATTCTTATTGTTGTTGTTGTTGTTGTTGTTGTTGTTGTTCTTGTTGTTGTTGCTGTTGTTGTAGTTGTAATTGTTGTTGTTGTTGTTGTTCTTGTTGTTGTTATTGTTGTTTATTGAAGTTTGTTTTCATTGTGTTTCTTGTTGTTGGTTGTTCTTCTTGTTGTTCTTGTTGTTCTTGTTGTTCTTGTGGCTGTTGCTGCTGTTGTTGTTGTTGTTGTTGTTGTTGTTGTTGTTATTGTTGTTGTTGTTTGTTGTTTGTTGTTTGTTGTTTGTTGTTTGTTGTTTGCTGTTTGCTGTTTGCTGTTTGCTGTTTGTTGTTTGTTGTTTGTTGTTTGTTGTTTGTTGTTTGTTGTTTGTTGTTTGTTGTTTGTTGTTTGTTGTTGTTGTTGTTTGTGGGTTGTTGGTTGTTGGTTGTTGGTTGTTGGTTGTTGTTTCTTGTTTCGTGTTTCTTGTTTCTTGTTTCTTGTTTCTTGTTTGCTGTTTGCTGTTTGCTGTTTGTTGTTTGTTGTTTGTTGTTTGTTGATTGTTGATTGTTGATTGTTGATTGTTGATTGTTGTTTGTTGTTTGTTGTTTGTTGTTTGTTGTTTGTTGTGTGCTGTTTGTTGTTTGTTGCTCTTGTTCTTTGTTCTCGTTGCTCTTGTTGTTCTTCTTGTTGTTGTTGCTCTTGTTGTTGTTCACATCATCATCATTGTTTTGGTGGTTAATTCTTGTTCTTGTTGCATCTGTTGTTTCTGGTACTTAGTATTAGGCGCAGTCTCGTCGTAGATAACTTCTTCCTGCTGCTGCTGCTGCTGCTGCTGCTGTGGCCAGAGAATGCAAAGTAGCAATGACACAAATAGAAAACAACAACATGCATCATCAAAACTGTAAATGCCTGGCAAGTGATCCTAATAGTAGTGGCAATCAGCGAAAGCAGCAGAAAAGGTACGCCAACAGCACTCACTAATATCGTGTCACTAAATTCATACTTAAATAGTTAAGAATACAGACAGCAAGTAAGTTTCACGCCTGCTGATGTGAGCAGGTGTTTGGCTGCCGCACACAGTGGGACCTTTGGGATGCAGCCGCAGAGAGACACAGAGAGAGAGAGAGAGAATAAAGACAGTGTACTACTACTGATTGAATTTATACAAGCATTAGAAAAATTAGAGAAAGGATGCTTCCTAATAAGAATAAAACATGCCCCGGAAGAAATAGCAGTGAAAACAGTAATCAAGAGCTCTAAGAAGAAGAATCATGTTAAGACTCATGGATCATGGTATGCTAAAAGCACAACATAAAGAAGTAGCAGCAAAAAAGAGCAAGCAAGAAAACCAAATATTGAGTTAGGCTTGTATAGCAACTGTAGTACTGATCCTGTTTTCCAAAACACATGACATTAAGCAAAATAGCAAAAAGGACACTTGCAACAATAATAATAATAATAATAATGAAATCAGTAAAAATCACACGAGGACTGAAATTTCCAGTGTGGTGATGGTGATGAGTGACGAGAGTAGAACCAAACGAAAATGACAAGAAAAGAAAATGAAAGTAGTAATCATCGTAATTGCAACAGAAATAAGACAAAATCAAACCAAAGTAATGATATATAACAATCACAATCATCGTACTAAAAAAAGTAATCGTCACAATAGTATTAAGAATGCAATCTCTTTGGTGCTGTGTCTTCCCACTCTGCATGCTGTTGTGCGGGCCTGGCCTTTTGGGGGTTCTTTGGTTGCCGCTCCATCAGGCAGGTGGTGCGGCCTGCTCGTCTTGGCTGCCCTATGCTTGCCGCTCACCTGTCAGCCGTGCGGGGAAACTACTTGATGACCTCTTGCTTGCCCGCTCCGTCCCGAAGGTGGTGCGGCATGCTCCTTTTGACTGCTTTCTGGTCGGCCGCTCTGTGTGGCGTGGTGCTACTGTGGCTCTCTCAAGGTTGACTTGGCAAGAAACAAGAGTTTATTTATTGATCTTTATTGCAGACCAAGTTTTTTTTTATTGGTCGCTTGTGGCTGAATGCTGTGAGGCTTGCCGCTTTTCAGGCAGTACAGCACATGTACTGAAAGCTTGTCAACACCCTCCAGGTCGCATGTTTCTTTTCACTTTACTCACTTTGCTCTCTGGTCTGCTGCTTCTTCTTGCTGCGCAGGCTTGTTCTGTTGGTTCCTTTTTTTTGGTGTCTGTTGTGCAACTGGCTGAAGCCCTGGTTTCTTCGGCAGATACTGCCAGGATATAATATATGTGCTTGATTGATTGAAAAGGGCAGTTTGGACTTCGGATTTTTGGTTTATATAGTTTTCTTGCTACCTTGTGTTCCCAGCCCAAACCCCTGCCACTTCGAATGAGGTTCAGCAAGGCAACGCACACGGAGCTTCGTCGGGGCCTCTGACCGAGAACATAACATACAACCCAGGATATTTGCTTGGATTTTCTGATGTGTAGCCACAGCTATGTTCATGTGGTTTCAATGCACAGTTTCAGCACGTAACATGTGGGTTCCTGCACCATGTGAAAGGTTCTGTCCCAGGGAATGCATCCCAGGCCCGGTTATCAGTCGACAGGCAAGGGTGAAGATGCTATGAGTGTGACCGAAAACAGCAGTGCAACTTCTAAGTAACTGTTGTAAAGAACATAACTCAAAAACCAGAACCTTCATGTCTATCTGTCTGTTTCTTTCAAAACGACTACTTCCTTAACAATTGCTCAAATTGAAATCTTTATGCATATATTTTCTGTAAAGAATTCTTAATGGTCCTCAACCATAGTGCGCATGGCAGACACAGCGGCCGACCAGAAAGCAGTCAAAAGGAGCATGCCGCACCACCTTCGGGACGGAGCGGGCAAGCAAGAGGTCATCAAGTAGTTTCCCCGCACGGCTGACAGGTGAGCGGCAAGCATAGGGCAGCCAAGACGAGCAGGCCGCACCACCAGCCTGATGGAGCGGCAACCAAAGAACCCCCAAAAGTCCAGGCCCGCACAACAGCATGCAGAGCGGCAAGTTTAAGGCAGTCAAGAGGAGCAGCCCGCACCAAAAAGGAACGGGGCGGCAAAGCAAAATGTAACCCAGAAAGAAATCCGCACCCAAAAGAAACAGATCCCGCAGAAACAAAGAGATGTTTCCGGCATCTCAGCACACACAATACCCAGCAATACAGAATTGACAAAGACACCGCGCACACAGTGACACAGCAGCAGTGCAACATCATGCTAGAAGATGATCTGCCACACACAGGCTTCTTTGAGCCTAATGCTGTCTTAGTCAAATTTCACTGCATAGACTAGAAGCCTTCCCTCCAACAACAGGCGTTGGCAGCCAGCCAAGTAAGAAGCCCAGGACACTGTTGGTGAAATGTTCAAGGCCCCCTGCATAGAAGCCTCACCCACAAGAACCGGCATGGGCAGGCAGGCAGGTAACAAGACGTCAATAATCATGAAAGGAGACCCTTGGCACAGCACAGCATCTGGCAAGTAGAAGGTATCATCTTAAATACACAGTCGACGAAGACTGTGCATGGAAGAGACAAGTAAGTTAGTCTAAATTCAGAATCACAGAGATCCAGTGAATGTGACCTCCTTCACTGTAGGTGATGTAGTCCTTCTTTGCTAGTCTGAATGAATCTGCCAGAAAAAGAACGATGCTGTTATTCCGGTGTATCAACAGAGGTTACATGCTCAGACTAAGACTGACTTGCTTCAGTCACGTCTTTGGTCTTTTCCCAAAGCCGTGAACTAGATTAATTATTCCCAGACAGGCAGAAGTTGAAAAGGCACTGCACTGCCTTCAGATGGTAATGAAGTATCGAAGGTAAACCTTCTGCCTCAGCATCTCAAGAATAAGAAGAACAAATGCTGCTGCTGTTGTCCGAAGCCAGTAGATTCACAGAAACATGAAAGAGTGGCTTGCGAAAAAAGGTTGGGTTTGATCATCGGTGCACGACAACATCATCAAAGAGCACCCCTTGCACTTGCAGGGCTCCCAGATTGCATTATATGCGTGTATGTCAGTCTGTGTGTCTGCCCATCGTGAGCAACATTTACTCATACAAAGAAGTCTAGGTTCGATGCTCTTGGATTATGATTCTCATTATTCCAGAGCTTCTGTGGGTCAAGCCTGACAGGTGGTTGAAGCAGTCGTCTAGCAGCGCATCCTGCCTCACTCTGTGCCACACACAATGTCGGAAACTCCTGTCCGAGTGAAGCAAGAGCTCGCAACCGCGCTGGATGCTGCTGCTAGCAGTACTGAACCTGACGAGATCCCTGGAGACACCCCACCACCGAAAAAGAAGAATGGCCGAGACCGTACTGAAGAGTACAAGAAGAGAAAGGCTCGGGACATCGATCAGGCCATGATACTTGCCCGAGTCGACTATGAATCGAGGCAGGACCCTCAGTCCACTGTAACAGTCAGTCGTTGACAGTTTCAGTTTAGTCATGACATTGCATCGAATCATGTAAGTAACTGTCACTGCAATCGGACAGGTTGAACTTCTTGGAGGTTCAGCTGGCAGCCTGGCAGACAGTCGCCATGCTCACTTTGTCCGAGGCCGAGAAGGCGCCTGATAATCAGTATCGTGGCTCGGGAATGTTTTAGCTGTGGGGCAGCTTGATCCTTAGGGAGACTATTGTCGCACATTCACAGTCAGTCACAGGTGAAGATACTCAAAGTGCCCGAGGGGGAGACCGAGTATTTCCTGCGACGTTGGGCAATCAAACGCTTGAACTACACTCCCGAGGAGTACGATGCCTTGCATGCTCAAGTGTCCGAGCATCGTCTGGCCATTCACAATGCCCGACTTCCACAGCAGGCACACACCTGACTCAGTCTGTACAAGACCCTGTCCGACGACTTCTCATGACCCCAGGGACTTAGGGATATTGCTGTCTGATTGCAGACATGAATGCAAAAGGGGTTCTTCTAAGGGAAGTTGACCCAGCAGGCAGTGTCAAAGTCGAAAAAAGAGTTCTGCCAGACTTGCTGTTCTGTGATATTTTCAACATTATCTTAATAAGTTAACTTGGCCAGACAAGGTCCGTGTCGTCATCCCTCCCATGCTGCGGGCGACATTGAGATTCCACAGGCAGGCCAGCCCCACACATTCCCAGTTTGGAAGTAGCAATCTGCTGCAGACCGCGTAGATTTGCTTCTGGGGCAGGCAGTTAGTAGTTAGAGGCTCAGACAGTTGAGTGAGTGCCCGGTCAGTCTGTGTGGTGGCAGCAGATTTTTATAGATAATTTAGAACACACACCAGATGATCAGGATGCTAGACAGGTGAAATCGTGGCTCCAATTTTGGCTTCTTGGAAAGGTTTGGACTGGCATCCATTAATTTATGTCGTGTCCACACAATCAATCACAAGGACCCTCCAAGCTTGCCTGATCTGCTCATAAGTGTCTGAATATCCATGCAGGCAGGGATCGGCTGGGCGATGCATGGTGCAGGGAGTCCGAGCAAAAGGCCTGGCAGTGACCATGTAAACATGCGACACATAATTGCCCTTCCTTGGTCATTTCGCATGCCACACAGAGTCTGAGTTCTTTGTCTCTTAGTGTGGCAAGTCCAGCACAGTGTTGTACTTGGCTCGAGCACAGGGTCCCCAGGAGAGGAGAGCAAGCTACAAGGGCAATAGCAGTGGAAGGACGAGTGCCAATGCCCGAGGACTGGGCCGACACATTGTGCTTCCTGAAAGACCAATTGTCTCCAGAGGCCAGGCAAGGCCCTGGCGCAATCTCATGCTTCGATGGCCGACCTCGGCCAGATCGTTCCAGGATCAGTGACCAACTCAATGCCCAAGGAATACCTTGCTACTCTTTGGACACCGAGGTGACCGAGAAAATGGATGTGACCACAGATGTTGGCATCCTCATCTTTCTACGCATGTTGATCAGGTTGGCCGAGAAAAGCCTCTTGTGGTTTGCACCTCCGTGCGGGTCTTTCACTGGATTTGTGTCCAAGCACAGCCATGGGCGTTCCCCGACAGAGCCAGAGGGAATCGTGGGGCCATGGACTCGATGGGGAAGCAATTGCGCAGACTGGACAGCAAAAGCTGTCCGAGCTGCTGCATCCAAAGGCAACCATGTGAAATTGAGCAAGAGAAGTTGAAGTCATGTAGTTAGTTGTCTGTAAATTAAAAATTGTGCGAGTTTTATTTATTCATGCATAGACATAAATAATAAATGGTTCTACTCTCAGCAGCATCCACAAAACAAGCTTTGGAGTATTGTCTTAGTTTCAGCAATTTCGGTTTTGATAGTGATAGTATCATACAAAAACCACCAAGAATCCTTCAAGCACACTTGGAAACGGCAGGCATGTACTACGTCGTGGAGAACCCGACGTCGTCTTGCATCTTCGACAGTCCATCTCTGAAGAAAGCTTTGTCCGACACAGGTGCCCGACGTGTGACTGTGCACTTGCATGGTTATGGGGGAGCCAGCAGCAAGCCCCTTTGGCTGGCAGGCACAGCACCATGGTTGTGGAGACTTGAAGTGGACTCCCGCACACGCTGTCGGCTTTCAAAGAAACGCGGCCTGCTGCCCGACAGCACTACTGTCCGAAGAGACCAGGACACAGGGGCTGTGTACGGCATTCCTGCCCGACTTCAGTCTTCCCAAGAGTATCCCTTGAGTTTCTCAAAGTTTGTGGCCGAAACGCACAAGGCGTTTCTTGACCAGCAAAATCTCTTGTGAAGTAGCAAGAGATAGATCTCAGCGAGGCTGCTGACCGAAGGGGGGGAACAGGCCGGCAAGCGAGCAAAAAAAAAGGGTGCAGCAATGAGACGAGTGCCTGCGAATTGCATTGAGTCCTGGTCAGTTAAATTCATTCCATTCTTCGAGTCTGACACCTTGCCCTGCTTTTCTGGTGTCTAAGTAGAAGACGAGGTCGGCCTCAACTGTGGAGCAAGCAATAGTATCGGAATGGTTTTCAGGAACGACACAGTCAGCCTTGAGCCTCTCGAGCTGCAGCAGTGCAATTTTGCCGATTGCATAGAAGCAGGTGGAAGTCAGGAACTGCTGATTATTGCAGACTAAGCAAAAAAGAGGCTGGTCCATAAATCACAGTGCTTGTGTCCGACTGCACACATGGCATGAGCACAGCGACCACTCCCTGCGACATTGTTACACTGCCCGATGCAGGGTAGTGGCACACCTCCAGCACATTGGCGTGACAATGCTTTTTGACCACTCTGGGTTCTGCATAGCTTGCTGCGACAATGGCGACACCAGGCAACCCATGTACCTGCTGCCACAGCTGGATCACAATGCAGCAATGTCGCACCAGGCAGCATTGCAGACCATTCAGCACATGGCATTCGGACTTACAGCAGCGACTGGCCAGCATCGCGCTCCCTGCAAGAGACTCGCACTGAGCAATCCATGGTGTCCGAATAGCACACAGCTGACACTGTGATTCATTCACAGACTGTGAGCCATGTGGTATCCGGTGCACCGTGAATTGCTCAGTGCGAAATGGTGATTGGAGCTGGTTGGTGACCACCTTGAAGCCAAACCTGGGTTCTTTCTTCTGTTTTTGACCGACAGCCTTGGAGACATCACGCAGGCAAGACCAGGTCAGCTGCCACACAGCACAGGATGACAGGGCAACTCGCAGTCCCAGCCGAGAAGTACAGGTTCACCCCAAAATGATGAGCATTCAGAACTTTAGTGAATGAAAGCAAGACAATCTCTGGCCCAGGAAAAAAACAGTGCACTCATGCGCTCTGTGATCACAAGTCTTGGGGCCTTCAAGACATTGGGACACGTTGCAATGCAAGCACGGGTTTCGATAAGGTGTCACATCTTGTTCACTGCGACTCGAGCGAAAGAGAGAGAGGGAGAGAGAGGGGAGGCCCTTTAATTTGCGAAAGGTGGCGATGTGTGAATGGCAAAAAAAGGAAGCTTCGGAGTCTTAGTGCAAACCCCTAACATGACTAGCAGAAGAACCTCGACTCAGAGACGTGGCGGGGGAGGTGGATGGACATGATTCGCATCATTACAATGAATGGAGGGGAAGGGATATTCATTCAATCGAACTAGGCGATGGGACAGAATAGCAGTAAAACGACCAGGGCCAAGAACTGTGCCACGTTAAAAAAAAAACCAGGGTCTCAGCCTCTGAGAATCACCACAGGCCAAAAACAATGTAGAAAATTCTAATGAATGGGGGGGGAGAGTTGGTGTCCCATGGAGATGCACAGTCTACAGGTCAGTGTGGTTCGCTGATGTTGTTACACCCTGAAAGCAATCAAGGCTGTTTGTTCTGCTTGGAACCCTTAAACTGCAATGCTCAATGCACTGGAATGCTCAAAGTAAAGCACTCGATTTCGAAAAGCCAAGCTGGGAAGCCTCCTCCTTGATATTGTCCAGTCCCACTGTGCGCAGGCCTACCAGCATGGCTCTACTCGACATGGATCTCCATGAAGGAAGAGGAGGCCTGGGCAATTGTGAGGGCCATGTCAATGAACCTGGTACTTCTGTTCTTCAGTCAAAATTATAGTAAAAGTTGCAGAGTATGGTTCTTCACTGGGGCCATTAGCCACCAAGCTTTGTGCTCCGGAATGTTGCCATTTGTTTTTGCTTTTGTCTGGTTGAACATGTCCGACCATGTGGGTCGCCCTTTGGCCTCGACCCTGAAGGTCTTGGCATGAATGCTTGACACAATCAATTGCCCGACCTAACCGAGGCAGCAAGCCTGTTCCATTCTGCCTGGGTCTGCCTCATTGGCCAGAGTGCAGGGGCAAGCGCCACTGGTGCAATTAAGTGCACAGACCATCCTTGGGGCCAACGTCTCCACGGCTTGGGGGACATGACAGCAAGACGATGGGCTAACGTGCTTGCTGGGGATGGTGGGCGCAGCGGTACGGAAATCTGAGCTGCGTCCAGGGGGCAGCGGTGTGGCCGGATCCCCCGACCACCAGTGGCTCAAAGGGAGGCCATTTCCATCCTCGTCCTTGCTGTACCTGCAAAAATAAAGGTAAAAGGTTTCATATTACTTGGGAGGAAGACTGACAGGCTTGTTACATCGACTGACAGAGTTGAGGGCTGAGGGAAGGCTGCAAGTAAGAAGCATGAATTGAATTGGAGTGTTTGGGCCAGGACATTGTCGGTTTCTGACACACATTCGACAACATAGGCGACGAGATCCAGCCCCAGGCTTTGAATCATTGGTTCTGGTCATGCGTCATGTAGAGAGGCTTCCAAGATGATTACCCCTTCGCCTGGGTCTACATGTTCTACCATCCATTGACCTAAGATTGCAGGCTTTCAGATCCAGGGTTGTGGGTTCCACGCATAGACTTCTGGCACATGTCCGTACTAGTTTGACACAGCACCCGAGAACTTTGCGATGTAGAAGACAAGTAAAGTATATAAATAATGCAAGCAGGGCACAGACAGACAGACAGACACACACACACACAGAGACACACACACACACACACTGGCACCTACAGTGACAAGACTCATGCTTACAGACACAAACACAATACGCCTCCCACACACACACACACACTAACACACACACACACACACGCCCGAGAAAGAAATGCAGCTAGCTGTCCGACACAGAGTCTCCATAATATTCTTGTCATCAGTATTTCAATTTTAGAGGAGATGCCTCCAATCTTGGACCCGAAATTCAAACCCGCCATTGTAATGGTACTCACTCACTCTTGACACACACAAGGTAATTCCTACATAAAATTCAGGTGAACCCGTGATGAACTTCTACTTGATTCCCGACCCTGACCTTACTCCACACACATTTGTCGCATACTGTGCACGACATAACTACCCATGACGTTTGATCAGAGCCCTTGCG